TGGAAAATGCAAGCTTCTTTTTGGTTGTTATCCTTTACAGATTTCCAAGAAACTGAAAGTTCAAAATGTAGGGTTCAAGTCTGCAAGTCTGACTGCAGTTGCATTCAAACTGTGAAAGAAACCTCATTCTGTTAAAGAGATGTCTTAAAGAGGTTGCCCAGTTAGGTCATGCTTATGCAACACACCCTCACAGTGTCACCTTTGTACTGCTTCACTACATCAATTAAATCAATTATGAAGTCAGTGGTGTTTTACTGTTGCATAAACAAAACATTTAAAAGAGATACCAACCAAGGATTCCCAGATCTAGCTCTGAATGTCTAACAGCTGCAATACGACTCCCAACCTACGTCCAAAAAAACCTCCACAGACTCAGAAGATATCTGGAAAACGTTTGCTCACAAATCTTCACCTGAATTTACATTGGTGTGTGTGATGGTTCACTGACTGATGAAACTCAAGTTAGAACAGAATATTCTACTGCAGATAAACTGGAATTCAACTGCATTTTCCAACCTGCAGGGTTTGCATCAGAGCACCAAGAGGAGACGACAGGACTTGGCAGCCTGAGAAACGCATCCACCGTCTGTATAGGAACCCCATACTGCAAACAAAATGCCATATTCAAATATATGGGTGTATTTTGGTTCATGGAAAGTTTTAGAGCATTTGCATGAACAGCAAATCTGTATAACAGAAGTTCTTTTTTCCATTACATCTGTCAACACCACATACTGCTTTGCATGTCAATCCTTAAGCCACCACTAACAGCTTTCTTTGTTCAGAACAGCCAGTTACTTTTCTCAGATCTTAAAACTCCAGCTCACTTTTGAAGAAAGCCAAAGCAACACTACAGTTTCTTTCTATATTTCTATGTTTAAAGAACAAAACAAGGATTTTTCTTTTACAGTACTGCAATTTTTTACAAGCAAATGTAAACAATGCCCGCTTGCTTTTTTACAAGGCAATTTAATACTACTTGAATCATGCTATCATGTACCTCATATCTGTAACTTTCATTTGCATCAGAAGAATCTGAAGCATCTGAGTTCATACTCCAGCTGTCGGGCTCAGCACTGAAAGTAGCCCTTCCATACTTTCTAAGCAGCTGATCAAAATTTTCAGCAGTAGGTATTTCAGGGGAGCTAAAGGAGAGTGCTTGTTCATCTGCCAAAACATTTTAAAGAATGAGATGACTTTTAGGATAAAACATATAACCTTTTTTAAGGAAAATGTCACTTTTCAACTCTTGATTCGCCAATGGAAAATAAAATTAGATTAAAATTGTTAATTAAGCTTCGTTAGAGCCAGGAGCATACTTTCAACAGAGAAGACTAAGACTTGGAGTACGAGACAGTTTCACAAATAAAAGTATTACAACATAAGGACCACGAGCACAGAACAATCAGTTTTCTGATAAGTTTAGTTATTGTTAACTTCAGTCTATTTTTGTACCCAGAGAGCTTCTAAAAACAGGTGTCCAATGCTTAATATTGGCAATAACATTACTTACAGTTTGTAGCATGAATGCAGAAAACACTGGGATTTACATGGTCAACTAATTTAAAAACTCTTTCTGGTGGATTTGCTTCAGTATCAAGTGAATATATGGCAGCTTTCTGACTACAAAGACGGCTGTCACCTCTGCAAGTAATAACAAAAAAATCAGTGATCCACTAGAAGTTACTACTGACCATATTTTAAAGTTCTCTTTGTGTGCTGAGGCAGCAAATGGCAGAGTTACAGCAGTCAGTGGCAGGTACTGAGAAAGTGAAACAGCTTTCCAAAATGACCTTTTAAGCACGGAGCTAAACTTAAATGCTGGCTACCAGGATCACATCCTGTACCAAACACCCTTTTTCCTCAGTATTTCAGATGCATTACATAACCTCTCACTTCTGATCAGGCAAAATCCGTTCAACGATTACCACAATTACACAAATGTACATAGATCCAAATGTAAATAATGAGATCCACAATACTTGCAGTCATTGGAAATTTCATGCAAAATGAACATTTTATAGAACAGAATTTTAGGGGACAACTACAACTTCATTTTATGCATTTCTAGTTGACAAAGACAGAACAGTCACCTGAGGCAATTTAACTGTCATTCAGGAAGGCGTTGATTAGACCTTTCTGATATACCTAAATATCTATAAATGGGTAGCAGTAGTCATTATGTGCAAGAACAATAAGAAATGGCAGTCTGGGATGACTGCTAATTCAAATTTCAAAGCACCAAGAATAAACCCCAGCATTCAGATTGGCATAATTTATGCAGAAGGTGGGTTGAAGTGCTGTACTTATTGTTCTGCGAAGTCACCAAGAGATTTTACATTAAGATAACAAAGTGAGCTTTCATAACTCCTTTTTGAGAGGATGAAATTAAGTAAAAAAAAAATTAGGTTTTCAGATAAACTGTAAATAGCAAGGAAGTAACCAGCAATGTTACTTTATGCATATAAAGTTATGTTTCACTGTTTGTAAAGTGACAGACTGGCAGCGAGGCAGCAGGCTGAGACCACTGACTTGTAGAACTAGGATCAGAGCAACACTCACACCATTTCATTAAGCCCTGAATTGATCATGTTTCTAGTTGATACTGTAAACCTCAATTAGAGGTTACTGAGAAGCTGCTGCTGGATTATGGAGGTGGCCAGATGGTCGCGTGGCATCAGCCTTCTTAAATTCCAGACACTGCATTATATTGATGAAGGTCTGACGATACATTCTTCTTCCTTCAATGCAAGGCTTCATCAGTAAAGCACCCACGCACAGTAGGACAGAACAACAGGAAGAAAAAGGAAGAAGCACAAATTTAGAAAACAGGGAATGAGAAATTGGGCTGGGAGGCCAATTTGCTGTTCTGCCTGGTTGGGAGCCAAAAGTTTACAGGCCTAAGGATTGGGGAAAGGGTAGGAAGGGGCTAGGAAGGCAGGGGAAGAGACTGGTTAGAAATCTGTCAGAGGAGAATATAGGGCTCATACAAATATATGAGACAAATAAAACTGAATTTTGTATTTCAGATAGCTGTTTGTTCACTTACGTGACAACTGGAACTGAACACGTAGTAAAGAGACTGAAATCTGCTGCACTGCAGTCAGGGTCACAACAGCAATTTATATCACACTGTGCCACCAGCAGATCACAAACACACAGCTTGGCAACTGGAGAAAAGATTTAAATTCCAATTAGGACTGGAACTTTGCACACTACAGCATGATCTCTAACACTTTCAATTTTCACCTCGCCTTATTTTGACAATGGGCAAAAGTCTATATCCAAATTCAGGCTGGTTTTTTGTGTGTGTTGTGTTTTTTGTTTTTTTTTTTTTTCTCCAAGTCATTTTTAAAAGCTCTTTTCTGTCACTTAGCAAATCCATGAGGAGCAAATAACAAAACTGGGAGCGTACCAGAATCTGACATTTTTTTTCCCTGTGAAATTGAAAAAGCAACTGAGTTTATAGGAATTTTGAAGGTATAAAAGTATGAAACTGGGTCCTGCACAAGAAAAGATACAAACAAAGCAGTGATGCTACATTTATCTGTTTGTTACAAGGTAGTGAAATTATGTTTATCAATTTGCTTCATATATCTGGAAGAAAAAAAACTCGCAACATTTTGATAAGAGCAGTGATTTATAGGTATTGAGAATGCCCTGGAGTGCAGAAATACACTTCCCTGATGTGCCAGCATAACCAGAGTTGACCTCTTTGTTTTTTCCCTCTGTCTTTAGATACTGTTAAATATTGTAACAATACAGAAAGCAAGTTCTAGCAATACTGTAAATGGTCTATATTAAATAAATTTGGCAGCTTCTTAAAAAAAAAAAAACTCTAAGGTTTTCCAGTTTACATATTCAAGGAATATTTAATATTTTATTGAGCTGTTGTTGAGAGTTGCTGTTCCGTAATAAATCTAAACTTAAGGGTAGCACAGACACTGCAGACAAGATTTCAAAAGAATGCTTGCTTTCAAAACTATCCCTCTTTTATTTCCATCTGACTATTTCCCACTTCTCCTGGGCCTCCTGGATGCTCTCTGACCATCTGAACAGTTCCCACACCATTCCTGGAATCTCTGAGGTGCTGTTGTTCTGTCAGCTGAGTTTTGATGGAACCTCTAGCTCACCTTGTCAACAAGAGCAGTTTGATCACAGACAATGAGACTGCGAATTTCTCTCTCTGAGTTGGAGGATTTAGGGCTCTTTTCCCTAAGGAGGCACAGACTGGGACAACGTGTTTTGAGAGAAACTTTGCTGGTGACAACTACACTGGGAAATCAGAAGTTAAATAAAAGTCTACCTGCCAACTAAAAGACAGCGGGAAGCCCTTTCTGACACCACAATGACAAACATTTGTGATCTGTGTCGTGATAGCACTGCATATCAAAGAAACAGGACTGGATTTAAAGTCTGGGACAAACTTGTGCCACGGCAATAAACACCAGAAGGAAGCAGGGCAGCTGCCTCACAGTCTCATCCTAAATAGAGGAGGCCCAAGGCCCCAGCAGTGAGCGGAGACTCCTACAAGGTCCTGAGAGGGCCTCCCCTCGGCCAGGCGCCGCGCAGCCCCCCGCCCCACCCGGCACCCACCGTCCGTGAGCGGTGCCGGCCCGCTACGACCCCGCTCCCAAGCGGTAGCACGGGTCTTCGATGGCGCTTCTGAGCTGGACGGGAACTCGGTGCTGGGCTCGACTGCCCGAAGCGGCGACAAGAAAAGAAGCACGCCAAATCTCAGCGCCGCCGACATGACGGCCGCTGCTAGGCCGCCCCCAACGACAGCCTAGGCCTCCCCTAGCAACAGCCAAGGCCTCCCCTAGCAACAGCGTGGTTGCCAGGGAGCGCGGAGTGTGATGGGAAACAGCGCCCCCTTGCGGCCGCTGGGCATCATGGGAAGCGGCGCGGGGTGTTATGAGGGGTTGTGTAGGAGCGGCCCCCCTTGGAGTATAAAATCCCGAGTTTAGCGGGTCTTTGCAGCTTTATTTCTAATAATACGCATTTCGTTAGCTTTTAAAGTTTATCAGTTTCTTCTCCTCAGCTCCTTCGCCTTGTCAGTACTCTGCAAGTGGTCCTGGTATGTCTCTTCTAGCTCTGAACGTTCTGTGGTAATTAATCTTGTGGTGTAGGAGGGTGATTTTGAACCGATCTGATAGTTGGGAAATCTGTGCTTGACTTTTACACAAACGCCTGTAGTTCCTTGGTGTTTCCTCAGAAATGCCAAGCTCCGGGCTTTGCTTCCACTCCACAGCCTTTCTCACTTGGCCTGGCAGCCTCCTCGCGAGGTGCAGGGCAGGGCTGGCTGTGCTGCTCTGAACGCTGCGGCCTCTCGAGCCCTGCCTCACAAAGCAGGAGGCACAGGGTGTGGAATTCAGCTGAGGGAAATAAAAGAGCTGTAGCTTTGAGACTCAGCTGGCTTTAGGTAACCCCTAAGGAAAGGAGGCTTGTTTTCCTGCCTGCTGAAATGCAGGTGAAGCTCTTTTCCTTCCTCATGGTCAAGTGAAGTTTCCACATCCTCTTGCTTGAGAGAAAGTAAAATAGATTTTGAAGCTTTAATTCTAACTACCGTCATGCTTGTCCTGCCTGCAGCGAGAGTCTGACCACATGCCTGCTCTCTCTCCTTCGCTGTTAGGTGTTAAAGAGCAGGCATCTCTTTGGGTGAGTCTGATTTAGGGGCTTACAACCCCTTGAAATTCCTTGAGTGATCTGCTCCCACCTACCACACAGGGTCAGGCAACAAGCATAAAGGTGTTTCTCCTACCTCTTGAACTTGGAATTTAGTTTGTTGTTTTAGAGGGAAATTGGTTCTCTACTGTTTATCATCACTTGTTCAACAATGTTATCATCAAATAATTAATAATGAATCACCCCCCACTAGTTTACACTTCTCTTATGGATTTAAAATGAGTAAAAAGAGCTGTTGATAATGTACAAGGGAAAATAGAATTTAATATGTTACTTTTGCATACAGAATAACTTTGTGAAGCTGATTATACACAATGGACCAGAGTCGTGGATAGGAAGTGCAAGCCTTGCTGAAATCTCTGGGCTCATCTCAAGAACAGATTGAACCCTGAGTACATGTGGGAAGGAGCTGGATGAGTAAAGAGGTATTATTTCTTACCGCATCTACCACTGAAACTGGGAGGCTGTTCAGTAGGAACATACAGAGCAATTAATCTATTTTTCTCATGATGTTTTTCCTCAGAAATAACCTAGGACTTTTCTCAGACCAGTAGTTCACCTAACCCCATCCCCAAGACTGGCTGTGAAAGAACGGGATATAGGATGAACATAGGTGTTGTGTTACTTGACTTTCCATTTTATTAATGCTTAAGTGATTAATTAATGAATTCCTTACCACTGGGATGTGATAGTTCAATAAAATCATGAATTCCTTCCAGAAATACTTGCACAAACAGAATGCAATAAGTAAAGTCATTGCAGAAAGAAGCTAGGAGAAAAAAAAATCTGACGTAGAAAAAGTCAAAGCAAAAGCCAAGTATAAGAGAGCTCATCTGAAAAATCCTACCACCACAAAAATAAACCAAACCAAAACCCCATCATTGTGTTAGACTTCTGAAGCAGGTTCAAAAAAGCAGCACCCCACAGTGTGTAGGACAAGATCAGGACATTAATAAATAATGCATGTCCTCCATCAGAGATATTTTAATTTATCCATCAACATGAATTAATTAATAATTTAAAAGGGCACTATGATACCCATGTGGGAATTCCTATGAAATGAAAATCCAAGCAGTTTAAAATGCAATAGATTGCTCTCTATTAAAAAACATGTTAAGGGATTTACTGTGTTACTATTTTACTTTAAGCAACAAGGTTCTGATGTGTTTGAACATCATAGTGTGCCATTTGCAATCCAAACATTGCAGGATTAAGTCCATCAAGTGACTGATCATAAACACAAACAGAGTTCACACACGTGTCTTTCATGAGATGCTAAAACAAAGCAAAAAACATTACCTAAACTTCAGTTTCTCTCATTTAAGCATATTTTACTAATTCAGTAAAATTCATTTTCACTCATATAACTTACACCATAGCCTTTCCTTCTAAAATTGTTTCAAATAGTTTAATTAATGCTACACATACAAAACTATTGTTGTTCTCAGAACAAAAGACAGTTGCGTCATGTACCAATCAATACCCCTCCTGAATGTACTTAAAAATATTCAAATCTAGGTGAACAAACGGGCAAAGTCAGTATGTTTCTCTTCAGTGTGAAGGTGTCAGAAATTCTGCTTATGGACACGTATCCTTTTGATTAAGCAGTTCAATTTTATTTTTGGAAGTTTGAGCTAACTCAGAGTAGGATTAGTTTAATAAACATGGTCCTCATAAATCAGTGGGTGAGGTGCTCAAGCTGTTCGTTGGCTGAGCCTGTGCAGCTCTCTTTGAACACGCCATACACAAAGCTTTTAACAGACTTGGAACAGATTTCAGTGTGAGGAAGTTTTCTGTAACAAAAAGTACTCATCAGACCCCCTGTTGTGAAAGAGCTCCTATAGGAAGTGGTATCATTCCTGGTACTTTAAAATTAGGAAAAAATCCTGCTAGGAAACAATTTTGTATGTACTTAGTTTAAGTATGTATGCACTTAAATATGCATATTCCAAACATATTTCCAGTTTGATCCATTCAAAACACTGGCAAAAGTAACAGTCACCACTAATCTGCAGTAGCTTGTATCTGACAGAGAAGCTGGATAACTTAGGTGAAGTTCCAAAGGAACCAATGGAGAAATTGATGCATGAAATAAGTCAGCTCTCCCTGGGTATCACAGAGGTCCCATGTGGAGGTTCTAGTTGCTCACCCTGAGAGCGATCTCCTGACCCTGCATCTTCCATGTGGGCACTTCTGGTAACACTGTCATTTTTGCAGCAGTTTCCTGTTTGATATTAACTAAGCTGTCCTACCTTCTTTGCAAGGCAAACATGGTTTTTGCTCTGTGACAGATGACTTTAGAAATACAGGTGGACAGGCATTTTTAATTAAAGTCGAAACAAAGTTAAGTAAGCCTGAAGTGCATTCTGCTCTAGCACAACATTAACTCTTAAATAAATCGTGGGAAGCCTTGGAGCCCTGTGCTGCCTCTGTACAGCAGATGGCATTACAGGTAATATTTATCATACTCCACTTCCAAGGCGAAGTAGTAGGGAGGGAGTACTGACGTCAGCTACAAGTGAATCAGTCTTAACACAGGCTGAAAAACTGCTTGTGCCTTCAACAGTTGATTACGTTGTACAGCATTTCTGCCTTGTGCTCCTCATCTCACTTATTAGTCTGTCTGAGCAAGCCTAGCAGGAAGAGTTCATTTCGTTTTGCAGCTTAAACGAACTGATGGATCGTTTAAATGGATCTTGGACTTTGAGGTGGGAAGATTCCACCCAGCTGCTGTAACCAGGGGAATGCCCTTTGCTCCAGTTTTTGTGCCAAATTTGTGCATTTGAGAATTTTAAACAAATACCACTTGGCAGGATCTTGGCCCTGAGGGTACGATAATAGTACTGAGTGAGACAGCAATGTACGTACAGAGATCTATCAGTGCTGATAGTGAATACTAGGAAGAACCAATCCTCTTGTATTTCATTTAAAATGGGGGCTTGGTGGTGTTTTTTTCTCCCAAGAGCCGAGTGATCTTCTGAATGAAAGCCAATAGCAATCTTTCATCTGGGGAACTGTCATCACAAGGAGTGAAAGAGTTCAGCAAAGGTTAATTATTATTACGTAAATGATGTTGTCTTCCTTGGCCGTCTGGACCAGCCTGAGTGGATGACCAGGGATGTAGGGATTATGAATTGCTCACGGCATGGCCTCGCAGGAACAGAGTCATGCTCTGCCGAGTGTATTTGACAGCCCTGCTCTCATGCTGAGTTTCTCAATCTGTGAGGCATGGCCGATTGATAAAGCGCTACAGAGCGTGTCCCATCCTGCTTCAGGGAACTCACTGCGATGGGGCATGGAGAACTCGTGCTCAGCTGGAAGTGAGGTGGGGGATTACAGATGGAGAAGCGGTGTGCATCCAGCCGGTGTAGGACAGAACACCTTGTGACGGTGAGAGCTGTGTCAGGGCACACCAGCACTGTAGGCAGGACTGAAATCTGGTGCCTTAAAGCAGGAGTTAGGCTGGATTGGTCTTAGCAGAGAAGAGACCTGGACAAGAAGAAGGAAGAAAGAATGAGTTAAGGGAAAGAATGACTGTTGGGGAAACTCTGAAAATATGCACTTCCCTTTCCTGCTCTAGGTACGAGAGGAGGTGAGACAGCAACCCTGATGGCCATGGCAGCAGCACTCCTTTATTAGCAGCACTTTGGCAAAATGAGCTGTGCAGCAGTTTCCTAGTTCAGAAAGGCTGGGCTTAAGTTGGTCTTTGTGGTCTCTGCACTTTCTTTCTCCTCATACAGAATTACAAAGGGGCAGATTATTTTTAATGAAGTTCGGATACCATTTCAGCTTCAGGCTGAAGCGTTTCACACATTGCACACTTTAGCACTTCAAAGGGGACAAACATTGTCTCTCCGTCAAGGTGCACAGCAGCCAAATGCTCACTGTGCCTTAATGCTGTTAATGACAGTTCTTCAGCAATGCTCCCGGCGGGCTGGATCCCTGCTGTACACCGCACAGCTTTTCCTTTCACCAGCTTAGGGTTCAGCTTTCACACTTCCCTCTGCTTTATGCCTGCCTTTTGTTTTGCTCTTTATGTATCTCTGGGCACGCAGTGCAGCAGCCTCGTTAACGCAGCACTCAGTGCACGTTCAGGGCGGCCAGCCAAGAGCTCCAAGCAGCACCAAACCTTTCTGTGCACCCAGGGCTGGCAGCAGGGAAGGATCAGTCCTTCGGGGTCTCCATGCCCTGAAGCCGTGCCACCCGCACAGCCATGCCTTTGTCCCACGTGCAATGCTGTGTCTGTTCTGTGACGATCGCGCCCTGCAGCCTTATCTCAGCACTCTGCAGCCTTATCTTTAGTGCTCTGGCATCTGTTTGCCCTACATAACGGGTGAATCCTCTCTACTTTCACCTGTTTTCCCAGAAATCACAACCATCAGATGCAGTGAGTTCGCATTACACAAAACCGCACGCTGCCAGGGAAACATGAGGAGTCGTCCTTTAAAAATACTTTTCAGTGCCGCATGACTCACATAACCGTCCTTAATCACCAGAAAAGCGCAAATGGCCACCGAATCCCTAGGAGTTATTTCGAGCACGCCAGACACGCGGCCCGATATGGGCGTGGAGGGCACATAGCTGGGTTAGGCGCAGCCCCGGTGTTGAAAACATAATTGCAATAATGACAGGTAGAGCTGGAGGAGGCGGCGAGGAAGCGGAGCCCAGCGCTCGCCTCGTGGCCGCGACCACCGCAGCGCTACGGCCAGCCCAGGGCTCGGCGGGGAACCGGGGCCGCCCGAGCGCCGCGGGGGCTGCCGGGAGCGGCGCGCTGTTATTGTCCCGTAGCATGCAAATGAGGTGCGGTGGGCAGCCAATGGGAGGCTGCGCTCGGCCCACCCGCCGCGCACGCGCGCTGCCCCGGGGCGGGGCTGACCTCTCCTCACCGCTCGCTGGCTGCCGAGCGCCAGGCCCTCGGCTGTGCACGCGCGGGGGGAAGATGGCGGCCGCGGCCGGTGGGGAGCGGGGGTGGCGCGGCGAGGAGCGGCGGCTCTGACCGGGATCTCCTCAGCTCTACGGAGAGAGCTCGGAAGGCCTCCGCGGGGCGGCTCGGGAGTAGGCGGAGCCCCCCCTCCCCCTGCGCGGGGGTGGCGGCGGAGGGCGGCGGTGCCGGCCGCGAGGAGCCGGCGCTCGGGGTGTGAGGGCGGGAGCCGGCCGAGAGGGGCGAGGTGGGCGGGGGGAGGGCGAGGGGCCGGGCCGAGGAGGGACTGCCGGGCCGAGGTGTGGAGGGACCGAGCCGTTCGAGGGGCTGCGAGGCGGGCTGCTGAGGTTGGCCGGGCGCTGCTGCTCCGCGGGGCTCGGCCGGAGGTCCGGAGCTGTCGCGGCGCTGAGGCCCGGAGGCGGCGGGCAGCAGGAAGGCTGGCTCGCTGCAGGAGGCGGCTGCGCCGGTGGCTCCCCGCGTTCCTGGCCTTGGGCTGCTGGGCGCCCCACGCCATGTTCTCGGTGCTGTCCTATGGCAGGCTGGTGGCCCGGGCGGTGCTGGGCGGCCTCTCGCAGACCGACAGCCGTGACTACAGCTTAGTGACGGCCAGCTGCGGCTTCGGTAAAGATTTCCGCAAGGGGATCCTCAAGAAAGGCATGTGCTACGGGGATGACGCCTGCTTCGTGGCCCGGCACCGCACGGCGGATGTGCTCGGTAAGTGACGGCGGTGCGGGTGACCTCGGTGGCAAAGGGACGGACCCCGGCTCTGCGCCCTTACCGAGGCTGCGGCGGGGCCGCCGTCCCTCCGGGCGCAGTGCTGGGATGGGGTGGCGCCGAGGCCGGCGGCCAGGAGGCCCTGTGCTACACACGGAGCTGCCCCTGAGGCCTGGTGGCTGTGGGAGCGGGGAAACACCTTTGTGGGTGTTTTCCTCCCTTTGTGCCTCTAAAACCTGGCGGAGCACCTGGTGGCTGCGATACGTTTCCTTGTAAAAGATCGCTGAATTGCACGCTTCCTTATTTTAGTGCATGCTTTGTCCTTGTCAAGTGAAAGGCAAAGTGACATTGAGGCTGGTTTCAAATGTCAAACTTCAGTTTCGGCGGGTGCTGTGTCCTGATTGCTTGCTCTGCTTTGTGCTCGTCTGCAAAATGGATCTTCCCAGCTCAGATTTTAAAAGTAATGGGAAAACGGAGGCAGTCAGTAAGAATCTTCAGTTTATGAGAAGTGTTGCTTTGGACAGTGCTTGACCTTTCTCCCGTGCAGTCAAGGTTGAATTTGGCTGATACTTTGCAAAAGTTGCTTTGCAGCAATGGAAGTAAATTTACCACAACTTTAACATTAAAGTAAATTAACAAAAAAAACCCTTTGTTTTTCTCCCTGTCATTTTAAATTAAAGATTCGGAGAACTTGCTGCAGTGTCTTATGATATGACAGTGCCTGGAATTCAGCTCTGTCACTGTAGCTTACTTGCTGGTTAATATAGCTAAAACATTTTCTCAGGAAGCTGTAACGGGGTGCTAGGCAACAGTATTGCTGGTTATTCTAAAAGGGAGCCCGTGCTGTAGTGGTGATGCTACAGCTTTCAAGGAGATGTGGAAAACCTGTCTGTGTATTTAGACATTTTGCATCTTTTCTCTTGCGCCTGTTCCAAGGAAACTTTTTCCATTTAGATCAGCTGTTGGACAACCACACTCCAACATGTGACTACGGCTGGCTGCCTTTAGGTTCTTACTAGGCCAGCACTGATAAATAAGTAATCTGTATTTGCCCTGAAGAGAAATGCAGAATATGCTTCTTGTGTAAGTGGATTCTTTACATGGTGTAGATTTGGACTCATCTGATGATGTTTAGGGTTTTTTGGCCGTATTTGGTCATTACCATATGAGGATTTCCAGCTTGTCTTGCCTTCCAGCTGGAATTAACAGAGAGTTGCATTTCTAAGTTTGTCTTTGCATTAATTTTCATGGCAACTTGATAACAAACAGTTATAACTCCACTTAAGGATCAAACAGCAAAGACAGCTTCAAACAAGGATGTCTTAAGTCCTTAGCAGGAAGAAGAGGCTTCAAATAGAAAAGCTGCTTTTTGTTTTTTTTTTTTTCCCCTGTAAAGCTGTTTTCATGTTCTTCATTGCTCTTTCTAATATTAACACGTATCAGTAAAGCAAAACTGCTGCAAACATTCTGCAGACATTAACACAGTATTGCTTCTAATGCAATCTCAGTGCTTTTTCTTCATCAGTAGTTCTTAAGCTCCAGAGCACAGTATTTTTCTCCTCGTTTCTGCTATTATTCATCTCTTTGCTCTCCCTTTCTCACCAGCTGTTCAACACTGCTGCAGAAGTTTCAGCACCAGTCTTTTCCTGCCCTCAATTCCTCTTGCTCTCATTGCAAATCTGAGGCTGTTTATCTTTCTTTTTCTTTTTTAACAAGCCTCATAAATTTTGTACCAACTCAATACCTGCCTAACTTTGCACCTCAGAAATCTGCCCGGGCTGAACTGTGGCTTTAAAAGCTTCATTTTTCAGCATTAGTTTAATGAAGAGGCTCAGGTGGTTTCAGTGAAAGTGAGTGCTGTACACAATATAACACTTGTAGAGAACAGTGAGTTTCAAGTTAGCCTGCCCTAGTTGTCATCACTAACAAAGCTATAGCAGATAGGAATTTAAAACTCTTCTGTGCCAGTCTTTTCCAGAATCTCTGTATGGAAAGCATGCTTGTGTGGGATGGATACGGGCGTGGTGTTACAGTGAAGGAGCTACTCCCAGCCACTTGGCATGAGTGCTTGGGGTTTCATTTTCTTAGGTCAAACAAAAGTTGGCCAGGGCTAATGAGGCAGAGTGTTTACAGCAGATACAACAATGCCAAGCACTTCTTTTGTGTTATGCAGTCTAGAAGTTGACAGCGTGTCTGCTAGCCTGTCCTTCAGCCTTTCCCTGTAAGAAAATGAGGACGCTTATGGAGATGTGCGTTATTTCCAGCTGTCCCGCAGTCATCAAGGCTTGGTGGGGTCTCTTACTGGTGTACTGGAAGCTTTGGCTCTTTAGCTCTTATTTTGACTTCTGGCTGCTATATACCTCTTACATTTGCATGTTTTCTTCCCATTGTGAGCAGAAGGAGGAGCAAGAATCTCAAATCCATGACATCCTTTGGGATCGCAATGAGGAAAGGAAATAACATTCCTACTAATGTTCATTTCTGGAGCTCCACGTTTCAGGCCCACGTGTGCTTTCTGCTGCTGTACCATTGTGTATGCTTGCTGTTGGTGCCACTGTTGTTCAGACCCTCAGAAAGTTACAGAATGCAGTGATGAGAAATATCGGAAGGTGTCTTCTTGAACATACGTGTCTTCCTGCTCATGTCTTAAACTTTTTGTAACTTTAAGATAAGTGTTTTTCCAAGCTGGAAAACGGAATTTTAGGAACTAATACCTTTGTTCCCTTCTAGTTGGTATACGGGTAAAAAACAAAAACACTAGCCTTAACAAAGCAAATGAGTTCACCAGTCTGTAGGTGCTGAGATTGAAGCTGGTGGTCTCTTTCTCTGTTGTTTGGATCTGCCTTTTCTTGCTTATTCCTGCCTTATCAGGCTCCTGTTCTCTTTGCAGTTTTTTAATGGATTTTCCGAACTGTTGTGTGACTCACGATTGAAACATTGCAGCAAGCAGAGTGCATCCCGTGACAGCATCACTTCTACATTGTCTGCTGGGTAGAAGTTTGGGTGTAGCCAGAGTGACTTGACTAGCCTTCCAAACCATGGAAGCTGTGGTAGCAGAAGGGGTAGGAAACAACTGGTGGCAGTGGTAGGAAACAAGTGGTTGGCAACAGGGCGCTGTTTGTCCACTGCAAAGTTAAATTTGGCAGCTGTTCTATCTGCTGCAAATCTTGGTGGTTTTCTTTGGAGCTGTAGTGCAGCTACTCTACGGTAAGAGGAATGGTGCTGTGTGTGAGAGTTAAGTTTGTCATCTGCCTGCATAGGAGGTATGCAGCTCCCCAGAGAGCAGGGAGGCCCTCGGAAGATTGTTGGTTTTGCTGTCATCAAGAAAAGTGAACTGCAAAATATAGAAGGATTTGTAGGTGAAATGTCAGAGATGTTCTGGCAGCTACAGAGGAGGAATTCTTGCTCAGATGCCTGAAGGTCCTGTAAGACTATGTTAAG